TTGGTTTCCAAAAGATTAAACCTTTCTTGATCCGTTTTCCTGGTTGCCTAACTGTCTTGGTTAATTGCACCTCATTTCATACTTGAGAAATGGATTTCAACCCCTAGTCTTGTGCCCTTGATTTTCATGAGATTGAACTCTAAAAATGGAGCGTTTTAATTAGAGTAATTTTTGGAGAATTTTACTAGTTTTAAACTCGAAACTTGGAACCTTTAGCTTTGACATTTACTATGGAAATGAGTGGAGTTTTGATGAATTTTAACTCCATGCTCCGTATATTCTAAAGCTTGGGCGTAAGACTAGAAGTTTTGAGAGATGAAAACTATCTACTCTTTTCTCGATTTTCATGCCAAAAATAAATATGGTACTTTCTTTTGGAACTAAGAGTTCTTGCCAAAACTTGAATAAAAAATGACCTTTGAGCTCTTTTGAATATTATTTTAATGATTTAGCAAGAAAATCTGTGAGAACCCAAAAATTTTCACATTTTCTCAGCATTATTTTATTTCTTTGTCTACATTTTATACTTTCCTTGGAAATATTAAATTTTCTATACATTTTTATAAGTAAGTACAGTTTTAAAATCATTTTCCTAGTATGAGTTAGTGTACGTTAAATTTGAAGTACATTATAGACGTGGGACCCACTAGTGCGATATAATTTTGGTGACTAAGTGATTTGTGTGTAGGAATATTATTTTACAAGGTGTTAGGAAATGATTAGAGATTAACTAGATAAATGAAGCATTGGGAGTGAGAAGATAAGTTTAAAACATTCAAGGTGCCACGTGTCGCAAACCGATTGGAGGTTGGATTTGACCAAGACCTTCCTAACTTTACTAAAACCAATTTTGACCCAATTTTCCTCCCATTTTTCTTGTCTTGGCCGGCTGTTAAGGGGAGCAAAATAAGAGAGGAAAAACTTCATTTTCTACTTCACTTGCTAGCTTCAATCTTGAGTTTTAACCAACCAAATCACAAACTATACCATACAAGTGGTCACTAAGGAAGCTTGAAGGTTTTGGTGGAGTTGTTTTGGAGGAGGAAAGACTAAGCTACCATTTTTCTTGAGGTTATAAGGTATATTTGGCTAGCAACTTTTCCTTGCTTTCAATATGTGCAAACTAGAAACTTATGGTTGAGATTTTGATAGTTTTATGCAATATTTCATGAGTTGAGGTGGTGATTTGAAAATTTTCAGTTTTATGGTGTAATTTTTGCTCACATGTGATGATTAATAGTTGGCCATGATTTACTAGCTTTGATATGTTAAGAATCTAGTGTTTTGATGTTAGTTTCATTTGCCTAAAGAAATTTCTGGTTTGTGTGCATAATTTCAGATTTAGGGTTTCCAATTTTGGTAGTAATCTGCCCTGTTTTGCACTGTATATTCGTCCTTGAGAGAGACCGAATCAGCTCTTACTCAAAACATAAAAGTTGTAGGTATTTGAGTTAGCTAGATACTGGTAAAATTTCAGCTCAATCGGAGCACTGTATCTTTTTAAATGACCAAAATATCCTTGACTGCCCACAAGCCTTGTTTCACGGACAGTTTTCTGTCCTCTCTGAGATTTCGATTTTTGACCATGAAAATGCATGATTTGGCTTTGGAAGTCTTCATTAGGAATGTAGGTATATGTCTTGGTTTCGAAACGCCATAAGATTCGTTTCAATCCGATAAGTGTAGCTTCAGTTGTGGTTGTTATGCCAAAAGGTGTTTTATCGCCTATAATTTGTATATGAAATTGTGGTTGTTTTGGAATGTGATTGGTGTTTGATTGTAGGATGGAAAGTGAAGAAATTAAGGGGAAATGCTGTCCGTTTACTTTCTTGAAGTTTGAATAAGTAAAAGTGAGATTTGAAATGTGATTTGGGGATGCGTTGGACTTACTTTTCTTAGACTTACTTAGGTCCACTTTAGTGGTGTTATTTGAGCTAGATTCCATTTGAACTTGTACTTTTCCGCATGGTGAATGTGACAACCGTTTTAAGCATGATACTTAGTTACAAATGCCAAGTTTTGAATTTCAAATGTTTACTCATTTTCTTTCCGAAACAAAGAAGAGTTACATAGGGTTTTTCGGCCGCAAAACCTATTTTATCAAGCGAGGCTTTAGGTGTGAATTTAGGGTTTGTTTATCTTCCTTTTCATATGATTTTACTCAAAAGACTTGTTATACGTTATTTCTTTGTATATGGGTTAGTTCGGACCAAACGAAGAGCTTTACGAAAATTTGAAAACAATTGCCTTTTCATATCCGGCCGTATATCCGGCCAACTCTTAGCCGGATTGCTGGCCGGATTGACAGGGAAAGAAGAAAAAAAATTCGATTGCTCACTGTCTTGAATCCGGCCGAGAATCCGGCCAAGGTCTGGCCGGATTCTGACGTGGCACTATTCATTTATTTTCCAATGAAATTTTCTAAAAACCTTTTTGAGTATAGTTGTATGTTTGGTTTGGAAAACCCTTAGTTACTCATATCCTTTGATTTAAATGTACTATTTTCACTTTAAAACTCATATCTAGTAAATATTCGGATTTTCTTTGAATTACTTAAATCTTTGATGGTTGAAGTATAATGTGTTCTTTTGGTTATTATTAGGGTTTCTCGGTGATTGAAGGTATTACCCGAAGGGTTACTTTGGACGTTATTTTGCGTAAATAGGTGCGTGTTCTTTGTTTGTTATGTTTCCATTGACTATATGATTTGTTGTCGATATTTGATTAAATGATAAATGTTTGTTAAAATGAATTTTGCTAGGCGAGTGTGTACTTTATCGCACTCGACCTAAAGAAATGTGAAATTTTCAATATTTAAGTGATTAAATGTTAGTTGTGCATGACTGTAAGTCTTTTGGCTGAATTGAACCATTGCCCTTCGTTGCCGGTCGACTCGAGTCAGAAGCGGACTCGGTCGAGCGATTTGGTGACCCTGGGTGAAAGTTTGGTATACTCGAGTATTACCACGTTGTCGGGTGGAGTCTGACCAATGTCCAGATGGGGGAGAAATGAAATGAATGAACGAAAGGAGATTTTCAATTATAAATGAAATTTTAAATATTGGAGGAATAAGGAAATGAAAGGAGAATGAAAGAACGAAAGACTCCACGTGAGCATGTATCCTTTTAATGAATGTGTTATTAGTGCTTCTATCTTGTAAATGTTCTTGGATTATTTGTTATCTATGATTCATGCCTTGGACTTAATTTTATTATTATGTGTCCAGAACCTCACTGAGCTTTTAACTCATTCCATTAGTTTTGTTTTCCTTACAGGGGATACGAGCGAGAGCGTGAGATCAGTGCAGATTAGCCTGGACTAGTTCTTTTGAATTTTGTTTTTTTCATTTTCTTGCGCTAGTGCTTGGATAGAGTTGGATGTACTAAGAACTGAGAACTTTCGTTTTATCTGGGATTATATATTATTTTGAGATAGAAATGAATGTAAGTATGTGTTTCAAGTTTGGGTTTGGTTATTTCACTTATTCTCGAGGTTTTATCTTATTTTGTTTGAGTGAGTCCTAGCGAGAGTTGGGCAGGCGGTCCGCCGAACCCTTTGGTTCGCCTTAGGGGAAGGTGGGGCTGTCACAAAATCTCCTTTAACTTGACTCAAACTTGTAACCTTGAGAGCGGGTGGCAAAAAATATTTTTCTTATTAACCTTGATCGAGTATCTAGATAATCATGATTGTGCATGTCTCAGGTGGTCACGAGAACGCCGAGGAGCTTGTCTGATTTCTCGCTTTGCTCTTGTTTTGCTTTTGACTCTTGATGACTGTCAAGTACATGTTCAACGTTAATATGATTGAAATGATATTTGTACAAGTGTTATATGATACATGAACTTGTCGAGGCGAGAGTGTACTTTACCACCCTCATCCTCTCGCTCTCTCTTGATTGAATGATACTTGTTAAATGAATATATATGACTTGCACTTGTACTTGAATTTTAAGTTGTGAGCACTAAGCGGCAGCATGTACCATACCCTATTCGGGTAGGAAGTGCCTCTCATACCGACTCAGTGCTATGATCGATTCTCTGAGCGACAGCATGTACCACACCCTATTCGGGTAGGAAGTGCCTCTCATACCGACTCAGAGTCACGAACAATTTTAAGTCGATTGGAACGTTGTCTCATCGACCACTTATACTTGTGGGGACACCCCAACCCATTGGCTAACCTCATAACTCGAGCAAGCAAGGGTTTGGTCGAGAAGTTTGGTGAATCATGGAAAATTTTGTAATTTGATCTTTTGAGATCTTATTTGGCATATTCGATTAGTATTGCCATGTCATGCGTGTTTGATTCCGAATCCGAGAGAGTGTTATGTTTGATGGAGGAAGTAAGTGGAGCACTACGGTCATGTTACTACTTGAGTTGACAGAGAGTCAATCCCAAATAGCTTGAATCGGTCGAGACGTGGAAATAACTCCTGAGAGCTCCTGTATCCTTCCATGTATGTTATTTCCTACTTGTGCACTTAAATGAAAGTTCATGTTTAAAGTTGTTTTCAAGTATGTTATTTGAGTAATTGGTGCTATTTGCTTACTTGCTTGATTTTCTTGGCCTCACTGAGCGTTAACTCATCCCTTTAAGTTTGTTTTCCTTAACTAGTTTTGGAGGTGAAAATTGAAGGTTCTAAACTAGCGACTTTTGGTAGAAGTTAATATACCTTTTATATGTTATTGGAGATTCTTAAAGTATAAATTTTGTTATTTTTTGATATGGTGGATTGTAATAGTAATTGCTAACTTTAGAAGTTGTGGCTTGTATATTCGAAATACTTTTTAATTAAGTCGATGGTTGATGTGTGATTCTTTATTAAGCTTGAATGAGTGCGTGAATTCTGACGACAGTTGGACAGGTTCTTTATAGAGCCATTATCTGAAAATCACCCATTCTTGAAGCAGACTTCATTCTCATAATATGATGAATATAATACCTCCAAAAATGGAATAACTGTCAATTGAATCCTTTGTTACATACCAATTTCCTACAAATGAGCTTAACTATTGTATTCCATTGCCATTTCATGTCTTTTCCCATTATATAAGAAAGTTGAAGTTGAACAGTTATATTACATTGTGTGAGAATATCCAAAAGCGCAAGATGGGCACTTTGTTGAGTTTAATCCATACCAAAACTTTTAATTGACCCTTATCCTGCGCAAAGAGACATTACAAAATGATTATAAAAAAAATGGAAAACTAAATGAAGCTCCACCCAATCAAAAGTCCATTAGAATGTGAAAAAGAAAAAGGTAGTAAATCATGAAAAGTCACTTCAATGCTAGTCCAGAAAAAGTTGTCATCTCTGCTTCTTCTTACTTGGTCTGTACATTATGTTTGGCAAACATCAAATTTGATACTTGCATTATTTGCTACTGTTGAATATACCGAACAATATAGCAGTGTTAAAATATAAAAGGAATAACACACTTAAGGGGAAAAAAGAAATAAAAAAGCATAGTGCAAGTACCTTCATTAAATGTTTAGCACTAACTAACACTCCTTTCATCCTATTGTCAAGTAAAACGACCAATCAGTAAATACATCTGGTTAATATTGCTTCGTACCTGCACATTTTAGCTCAGAAATGGAGTATTGTCAGCCACGTAGAGAACAACAAACTTAAGCGCAAGTATAACCAGAAAGACATCAATAATCCTCTGTGCTTAACTGCAGTAAATACTGAGAGGCAAAGGCATCCTAAACTCAACTGCACTAATAATCATAGAAATAGAAAGCAGACATGCTGTTAAGGCATAAGCAATTTTCTTGGAATGAGGCCAGGGTACAAAACACAACATTTATAACTATTACAAACGAAACCATACCATGCTGTTGAATATCAAAACGATCCTTGGCTAGAATACGATGGTATGGGAATTCGAAGAGAAGTGAGACCACAAAGTAATGCAAATGGATCGGAAGTACAATCTTCAATTCTACAAAAGAGGAGATGAAAGTCATAAACATCGAAAGAAGTTACAAGTCCTCTAGTGTTGCCTTCCTGAATCAATCTGCTCTCTTCCCCCCATTATGTCTATACTAAAAGAAGTCAGGTTAAATGTTGATTCCGGCCTCCGAAATTCCACCTCCACTTCTTTCTGCTTCAGTTGCAATGCCTTGCGCTCATTCTCTATTATCAACCTCTCCTTTTCCAGCCTAGCTGTCTCCAGTTCCAACTCTTTCTTGTTGCAGAATCTCTGCCATTTCAATCTTTGCTTTTCTAACTCAAAAGCTTCAGCTTGTATGCCAATTCTTTCCTCATGAAGTTGAAGCATACGCTTCCTGATCCACTCTCTCCGCTCCCATTGAGACTTTGTAGGGTCACTAAACATTTCAGCGATTTCTGCCTGAAAATCATCACCGGCCCCAGATCGAGACCTAGTATTTCCATAATCCTTCCACACTTCCCTATTTTCACTTGTTTCAACCCTATCCACACTCCCAGAATTGTTGTTATCTGCAGCTTCATCTTCAGACATGTAATGGTCACTTTCATCATTTTCATCAGCATCATCGCCCTCAGAGATGTCATTGTCTTTTGAACTTTGTGCGGCCACAGGTGAACCATCCTTGTCTGTCGTGCCTTCTCCTGCAACAGGTGAACCATCCTTGTCTTTGGTGCCTTCTCCTACAACAGGTGAACCATCACAATGTTCCCAAATTTGTTCTGCTACAGATGCAGCATGAACTGGTAACTCAAAATCATTGCAATCGGTAATCTTTTGGCCATTATGGTAAGCACACATTTCCTTATAGAACAAATGCTTTGAGCCCAATAACTTCCTCACATCTTCCTTTGCTTTGTCAGAGAGATGTTCCATGTTGTTTAATAGAGCTGGATTCTCCACAACTCTACATGAAGTACCCCTTCCAAGAATGTCGTTCAACTTCTTGTACCTCTTGTTCAAATCATTGAACTTATCCTCACACTGCTGAGGTGAAACACAAAGACCCTTAGACATCAATACCTTTGAGACCGTTCTCCATTTTCCCTTCTTTATGATACCAGATTTTCGCCTCGCTCCCTCAGCACCCTCTGAAGGACCATCTTCTCCAACATTTGCAACAACTTGAATCAAAAGTCTAACTATATTGTCCGTCCACTTCATTCTCACCCAAGGAGCATCCTTTTTGCCCTTTCCTCCACCAGTATCCCTACCATTGCCCTCTGCCATACTTGGGTCATCCTCATCACTTGAGATCTCATTGATGTTAACAGCACCATTACTCATAACATTCCTAGGTCCCGCAACCCTCTCTCTTGCAAAAGTCATAGCAAAACCTCTTGGTGCTGAGTCTTTGACCTCCCTTAGCCCAATCCTGGAATCCTTTTCAGCCACTGATATCATATTCATCGGAGATGGAACTTGGTCATTTTGCAGACGAGCTGGATTACTGCTACTTAAGTTTTGTTGATGGCTTCTACTCATCCCCAAAAGCCCACCAGGATTTTGTTGATTCCTATTCATCCCCAAAAACCCTCCTGTATAACCGGATAAAAACCCACTACCCGGATTGTTATTATTCATCTTCCACACCAAAACTTCCAAACCCTAAAAAAAAAATCCTGAAAACCCGAATGGAATTTGTACCAATCTAAACATGAAGTCATAAAAACCTCTCAAAAATTAAAGTTTTAGCACATAATCAGCTCACAAATGTCCAAACACCACAGCTCATAAAAAACCCGTCAAAACCATACAATTCGGAAACCCTTTACATCGAATTGCAATACCCAAATCTAAAATTTTTCATTTATCTCCGAGAACTCAGAAAAAGGTCCTGAGGTTCAGTGAAGTTCAGTAAAGTTTCAGATATATGAAGAACAGCAATAGAGAATGATGCCCATATAAAAAATGATAGTAATAAAATAAAAAGCCTGAAAAAGAATTTCTAATGCACGATGTGAATAGCATGGATGATTGATAGGATTACCTTTTTGTGATCTAGAATAGTGATTCTTCAGAGAAACTGAGGGGTTTTGCAAGTACTCTTTTGCAGCAAGAGAGAGAGGAGAGAGGGACCAGTAAATGGTAATCAGCAATGGTTTTCTTAACCGTGGGTGGGAGAACTTAAAAGTACCTTGGGCTGTGTCGTGTCGGATGAGGGATGGACAGCTCCAGAGCTGTTCACGGTCAAAATTTGATTCAAAAAAATTGTACGATTTTAATTATTGGGTTAATTTTACTTTGCCCCCCCAAACTTTGGACGATTATCCACTTAAGTCCCTAAACTTCAAAATGGGACACTTAAGTCCCTAAACTTATAAGTACCTCCCACTTAAGGAAAATTGTTAACAAATCCTGAATGTCGTGGGTGGTCAAAGTGTCCCATTTTATAAGGGTTTAGGGTTTTAAGTGTCCCATTTTATAAGTTCTGGGACTTAAGTGGGAGGTATTTATAAGTTTAGGGACTTAAGTGTCCCATTTTGAAGTTTAGGGACTTAAGTGGATAATCGTCAAAAGTTTGGGGGGACAAAGTGGAATTAACCCTTAATTATTTTTTATACTTTATTTTTAATAATATATGTGAAACTCATAAAAATTTGTTTTAAAATTACACATTATACAAATAAAATTACGCCGTATGAAAATAAAATTACGCGATATGTAAAATACACAAAATCGCTAGGAACGGTTGCACTGCCCGTGGTCCGTGTCGTGTCCTCATTAAATTAGATTGAATGCTCTTATTACTCTCTCTCTCTCTTTTCCAAAGTAAATCGGCTATATTTCTTAAGAAGGATTTTGCTGTAACCTTTTTTTTTTAACTGTGTTTTTATTTTTGTTCAAGACTTGCATGGAAGAATGACGACATCTTTGCCACAAGTCAATTGGTCAATGTAAATTATTTAACTCCAGCAAGTACAGCCAGTAGCCATATGTGTAAAAGCAAAGGATGCATATCGATTAATATTTTTCAGAGGTTTTTCTAAAAATTTTTATTTTACTATATATATTTTGGAGGTATTTTTAAAATTTATAATTTTATTTAAATATTTTTAAAAAATTTTAATCCTCCCTTACCACAACCATTCACCACCCCCGTCCCCCAAAAAAAACAAAAAAGACAGCTCAAATTTAAATGGGAGTTCTGCTTGATGCATTCAAGTCTCCTGGAGTGTGTGTATAACTCTAACAATGTAAAAATGATTAAAATTTCAAAAATTTAACCTCTTTATATGGCAGGTAATTCATTTACTATTCGACATCACTCGATTGGTTAAATAAAATAAAAAAAAGAGGAAGAATAACAGTTGGGCTTTACTCTTGTGCTTTAAGTGCGTACACTATACCACCTTAATATTTGAGATATAAATTTTACCCTATCTCATTGATACCATTAAGGGGTTATTTAACAAAGAGATGATCTCTTGTGACCAAATGTCTTTGGACTCTTTAAAGCGTATAATCTATTAATTCAAAGTCAAAAAGTAATACTTCCCCAAAGCACTTTCGCATTTGGTACAACTTAACTAACCTCATTTTTCCGATTATGTTTTAAGAGCTTCCAAATTAGTCACCAAAACAATTTTTTCTACTGAAAACGTGGTATTAGATTTAATGTATCAACAATGACATAAAGTTAGAACACAATTTATAGAGTAACAGAAATCAAATTTACTTTATTCTAAACTTATTGATGGAAATCTTATATAGCTTTGTTCAATAATCTTCAATTCTTTTTTTTTTTGGTACATTTTATGTTTTTAAGATGGAGCTAATCAATCTTTAATTTCATTTTTGCAGCATATTATGGACAACCTGATTTATTTTGAAATCTGAAGGGACAGTTCCAGACTGACATAAATGAATTAGAGAGAGGCTTATTTGTCTAGATTGCTTTTAATCAAAATACACAACTCTTCTCATTGATAAATAGTATAAATGATTCAGTTACTCAAAAGAAAATTTACGAGTACTTTTACCTCAATAACATCAAAGATAGGAGTTCTTAAATGGAAAATAAATTGGCATGAACAAATTTTGTGAAGAAATTTTTTGAAATACTTCCGTCAAGATTTTTCTTAAAAATGATTCTTTTGTTAAGTAAACAATAATCATAAACATTGATTGTGTAATACTGATTAAAGTAAAGTGATATAAATATGTTGTAATGGAACTTATTTCCCATAATAAAAAGAATTTCCATCACAAACAAAATTTTGCGTGTAATATCATGAGAACATATATAATCTAAATTTACTCTAATCAACTCTTGCCATACGTTACTATATATGGTACTTAAAGCCTAAAGGATTTATTTGTCATTCCAACAAGAGTTCATGGGCCATAATATCAATAGTCAACCGATTAGCTTTTTAAATGTTTAATTAGATTATAGAAAGGTAAAAGTTTATATTAGAGGTCCCAAGAATTAGACGTTCTGGGTTCCAATTTTCTTGTCCTCTTCTCGTTTCTTGAGTCCTATCCCTCCTTTATTGAAAAAAATAAAAAAAGGTAAAAGTCAATATTTCCAAAGTTGAGAGTAATAAAGCTTAACTACCTAAAATTTTAAGGGGACAATGCAATTAGTTTCATTGCTTTTGAGCTCTCAAGTCTTGATTGCACTTTATGATTTTTATTTTACATTTATTAATTATGTAATCAATGGTAAACAAAAAATAGAGTAAAGATAACATACTAACACTAAACTATTTAGGATTTCCAATTTTAGCCACTAAACTATTAAGTTAGGCAAAATGGTCATTCAACTAATGAGAACACACATTTGGTGATTGAAAACTATGATTTTAGTAGTTGAGTGACTAAACACGAAAATTTTCTTAGTTGAGTGACCAAAAGATACTATTTTTATTAGTCAAACTAGTTTAAAACCTTGTCACTCACATGTATCAATTTGGTGAGGATTGGGTCAATTTTAATGCTTAGGGTTAACTCAAAGTACAAAGTTAAATTTTGCAAATCAAATCCTAAATATATAAAACGGGCTAAGAAGTTATTGTTCATGCTACGGTAACTTTTCATCCCCCTTTCATAATTGAATTTTTTTGCTAAAATAACACTTTTTCTAAAAAATATTCTCAATATGATTCACTTTCAAATTTTATTCCCATAATGATGTTATTATTACCACCTTATAATCCTGATTGCCACGTAGTGTGACAGCCCCACCTCTCCCTAGGGCGAACCCTGGGGTATCAGCGGACTGCCTGCCCAGCTCTCGCCGGGGCTCAGTCGTTCAAAGAACTAACAACTCAAAATAACTGATGAAATAAATTCAAACTAAATCGTACCAACCCTAATGGCACATAACCGTCAAGCCAACTTTTCAAACTTAAAACGGCAAGCTAAAAGTCACACTTACCACTCTATACTACAATTACATAACGTAAGTCGAACTTATGAATTCAAGCTTACAAAAGTCAAAAGTAAAGTCATCTTAACAAAAGGTTACAAGTTCAAGCAAAATAAAGTTAAGAAGGCTCTTGACCGTTAGTCCATCCCCGATCTGTTAAGGAAAACAAAGGGAGTGGGGTGAGCTAAAGCTCAGTGAGATTCCAAGTAAAGCAAGTAACCACATAGCCAAAATTAAGGCATAAAATAACCAAATAAATACCGTATGATACAATAACAATTTAATCACAGTTCAATTCAAGGACATGGGTGGCTTTCAAAAGCCAAAATCCCCTTGAGCTTGATCATAAATGTCTCCGTTGACTCTCCGTCAACACTTGTATACACAGAATATCAAGTCCGTAGAACACCACTTTCACCTGTCTCCGTCCACCAATCAACCCCCTACCGGGCCCGCACTCCATAAACAGTAGTTAGGTAATACTCGAGTATACCGATTTCAGTGTACAGTAAACAGTCCTCAAGGTTTATCGGCCTTCTCGACCAAGCCCTTGCTGGCTTGATACGACCGACTCACCTATGAGGTTGGGTACCCAAACAGTAGTAGTAGTTGATGGGATATCACCCAAACAATTCAAGTACAGTCACATATAGAGAATTCACATTTCATAATAGCAGTATACAGAGCCTCAGTGGAAAGTGAGGGAGGACGAGTGCGATAAAGTACACACTCGCCTCCATTTTTATCAAATCAGGGTTTGGCTAAAACAGTCGTAAATCAAGTATTCAGATATTTCACATAAGCAGGTAGCAGGTAGTGGAACACTCACCTGTCAAGCAAAGCAGTAGTCAAACGTCAAGTTTCTCAGTTACGACCACCTTCGTTTCTCACCCCTAGGGCAACGAGTGAAAATTGTTTACCATTAGGTTCATGCCTTACTAAATTAGGCTCATTAAGAGACCAAGTGAGTAGTCTAAGCTACTTAATCCATCGTACAAATAAGGTCCAAATCATGGTAAAAGTTCATGAAAAAGCAAGTGTAGACACCAAATTTTTGGTGTAATTTCATTTTTAGTTTTTTTTTTATTTGTTGTGTTCGTTTTTTAGTTTTAGTTTCTAGTTTTATTTTTATTTTTAAGTTTTTATCATAGAATTTCTTGAAAAAGGGAAAGAGGAAAAGGAAAAGCATTCAAAAAATAGGATTTAGTCATTTGTAATTTAAATTCAATGCTTTCTTGAAAGTGAAAAAAAAAGAAGAAAAAGTGAAAAATGATGAAAAATGAAAAATGAAAGAAAAAGATTGAAAATGGCAATTTTGCTGTTTTAGTTTGTTTATTTTGATGTAAAATTGTTGTTTTTTTATTACTTAGTTTTTATTATCAATTTGGTTTTAATTAATTTCAAAAAAAAAAAAAAAAAAAGATACGCTATTTGCAGCTGCGTATTGTCGCAGCTTGCAAGAAAGGATTGGGCAGCTCCTTTAGCTGCAATTTTGGAAAAGATGGCTGAGGGTTTTAGGAGGAGGATTCCCATATAAATAGCAAAGGGAAACAACAGCCGCAAAGGGGGAGAGATAGAGAGGTTTTGGAAAAACTGAGCGAGAGTTTTTGGAGAGAAGGGGACGGCTATAGAAAGAGACCAGCGAGAGAAAGGAGAGGTTTTGGGGAGGCTAAACAAAACAGAAGGTTAGCGGTTAGGTTTTGGAGGAAAACTTCAAGGAAGCTACGGGCTGG